TTGTTAGAACTACGTGGTAAACTGCCCAGAACTGAAAATATCGACATCTTCATGTGCTCTGTGTTGTGGTTTGAGAGGGCGGCGCTTGGTGACGGCGTGCCTGGGTCCGCGATTGTGATTGGTTGGGAGGAAGCAGTGACTAGCATAAACCTACATGCTAGGCTACAATGAGAAGGAAGGAAAACTGCGTTTCTTTTTTATCAAACTTTTATCGACCCTCTTTTTTCACCACATGTCTATCGATCGATATATATCGTTATTGAATTATCGCCCAGCCCTACCATTAACCCAACCATTACCAGAGCTTAACTAACCCTAACCATTAACCCAACCATTACCTGAGCTTAACTAACCCTAACCATTAACCCAACCATTACCTGAGCTTAACTAACCGTAATCATTAACCTAACTATTACCAGAGCTTAACTAGCCCTAACCAATTAACCTAACCATTACCAGAGCTTAACTAGCCCTAACCATTAACCCAACCATTACCAGAGCATAGCTAACCCTATCAACCATTACCTTTGCACTGGCTGCCACAGACAGGCTAACGTAAGCCCTGGCTGCCGCAGATGGGCTAACGTTAGCACGGGCCGCCACAGATGGGCTAACGTTAGCTTAGCGCTGGCCGCCGCAGACGGGGTAACGTTATAGTTGGCCGCCGCAGACAGGCTAACGTTAGCACGGGCCGCCGCAGATGGGCTAACGTTAGCTTAGCGCTGGCCGCCGCAGACGGGGTAACGTTANAGCTTAGCGCTGGCCGCCGCAGACGGGGTAACGTTAGCGCTGGCTGCGGTTAGCCTGGGAGGTCCGCTGGTTGCAGCGATCCTCTCAACATCGGAACTTTTTAAAGTATGCACTGAATCAGTAAATGGTCAGGGGGCCAGAACAACATCTGGGAACTTTGTCTGTTCTCAGCGTTCTTGTGAATTGGAGCAGTACTAGGTTGATGATGTATCATGAATACACGAGAACGCACAATTACACATAGTGAGAAACGGCCACGATGACCCACATTTGACTGGGTCAGATTAATAGAGGTGTAAAAAAAATAAAATAAAATAAAAAGTCACTGCAGTGAGAAAGCAAAGCCTTACTTCATGACCAGCCTGTGTGCAATGATCTGACACCTGAATAGGATTTCAATAAAAGTAATAATTGAACTTTATTGATCTCGCATTGAAAGAATTCCCTCTCTGCATTTAACCCCTCTCCTTTGGGAGCAGTAGGCTGCCATTGTGCGGCGCCCAGGAAGCGGTGTGGGGTTAAGGGTCTTGCTCAGGGACCCAGAGGGCAGGCTGTGGGGATCAAACCGGGTTCTAGTGACTCTGCTCTAACCACTAGGCCCATTCAGAGTATTTGGGACACCACTACCCTCAGGGTAGAGCACAGATTCAGGGACAGGGCTGAAATTAGGGCTAGGGGGTGAATTGGGACAGGCCTTAATGTTCTGCCCTTCCTTAGCCCCTTCCCTCTTCACNAAGCAGCAGACGTGATTTTGCTGCTCCTGCTGCGTCCAGTTTGAATTGATTCACTCCGCTCTGGCTTTGCTCCGCCCACGCGCTGCTGAGAGGAGGATGGTTGCGCCGGCTGCGGTCCGCTCTTATTGCAGTTAAACACCGAGCAACTTTCTGCTCTTAAATTGTTTCCGTGCACGATGTATTGCATTGAGCACTATTGGCATCAGTGTTAATAATGTGAAGCCGCACTTTTGACCTGGGGGGCATTTTAAAGGGGTTCCATGACGCTGCAACCAGTTCACAACAGATACACATGAACCCTGGCTGTAGGCGGGACCACCTGTGTATTTTTCCTGGATGACGCAATCACGTTAAATGTTACAGCCAATCACCGAAACTTTGTACCGAAAGACGAGGCATGTTTGATACTCTGTAGAACCGAAGCATTTCGGTCGGTACCATAAAAGAACCGAAGTTCGGTACCCAGCCCTAGACGGGCTAACGTTAGTGCTGGCTGCGCCTCGGAGGTCCCCTGGTTGCAGCGTTCCTCTCAACATCAGAACTTTTTAAAGTACGCATTGAATCAGTAAATAGTCAGGGGGGCAAGAAGAACATTTGGGAACATTGTTTGTTCTCAGCGTTCTTGTTCTTGTGAATTGGAGCAGTACTAGGTTGATGATGTATGCTGAGTACACAAGAACGCACAATTACACATAATGAGAAACGGCCACGATGTCCCATATTTGACTGGGTCAGAATAATAGAGGTAAAAAAAAAAGTCACCGCAGTGAGAAAGCAAAGCCTTACTTCATGACCAGCCTGTGTGCAATGATCTGACACCTGAATAGGGTTTCAATAAAAGTAATAATTGAGCTTTATTGATCTCACATTGAAAGAATTCCCTCTCTGCATTTAGCCCCTCCCCTTGGGGAGCAGTGGGCTGCCATTGTGCGGCGCCCAGGAAGCAGTGTGGGGTTAAGGGTTTTGCTCAGGGACCCAGAGTGCAGGCTGTGGGGATCAAACCGGGTTCTAGTGACTCTCTCAGAGCACAGCGCTCTGCTCTAACCAATAGGCCCATTCAGAGGAATTGGGACACCACCAGCCTCAGGGTAAAGCACAGATTCAGGGACAGGGCTGAAATTAGGGCTAGGGGGTGAATTGGGACAGGCCTTAATGTTCTGCCCTTCCTTAGCCCCTTCCCTCTTCACTCGTTCCTCCTTCCTACTGCCTTATTTTATCTCCTAGCTTCTTTCTGTCGCTCAGCCCCCCACTGTGGAGGTTTCTGGTGAAAATGTTCACAGTGAAATGGCAGACAGATGTTTTCCTCCGGGTCACAGACCATCACAGTCCCCTGGTGTCCTCCCTCCTCAGGGCTCAGCTGACCATGTGTCTGAGAGCCATCGTGAAGCACGACTTCCCCGGCCGCTGGACCGCCGTCGTGGATAAGATCGACGCGTATCTGCAGTCTCAGAGCAGCGGCAGCTGGTACGGCAGCCTGCTGGCTCTCTACCAGCTGGTCAAAACATACGAGTGAGTAAGGCGATGAGGTTAGCGCTGCAGCTCTCCGTCTGCACAGAGAGGAACTCTGCTGTCTGTGGGCTTCAGGTACAGGAAGGCGGAGGAGCGGGAGCCGCTGCTGGCAGCCATGCAGATCTTTCTGCCCAGGATCCAGCAGCTCATCAGCCAGCTGCTCCCTGACGTCACCATCTTCTCTGTCCTCATCCAGAAGCAGGTCCTGAAGATCTTCCACGCTCTGGTCCAGGTATGTCCATGGAGCCCCGCCCCTCACGCTGCGGCGTAGAAACGGTGGCGTCTTTCAGCTGGAGCTTCTGTAGAGTCAGGGTCCTGCTCTAACCCTGATGCTGTCCCGCAGTACTCGCTGCCTCTGCAGCTGATCAACAACGCCGTGATGACGCAGTGGATGGAGATCCTGCGGGCCGTCATGGACCGAGACGTCCCCGCTGTGAGACTGAACATGTTTGGGTTCTGTTTTCATCAGAACCGCAGCAGACGGGAACTGACCCAGCTTTGTGTTGCTAGGAGACCCTGGAGGTCGATGAGGACGACCGGCCGGAGCTGGCCTGGTGGAAGTGTAAGAAGTGGGCGCTCCGCATCATCACCCGGCTGTTTGAGAGGTGAGTCCAGGAGAGAGTGGTTCCCATGGCGACCATGGGGCCCGGTCCTCAGCTCTGTCATCTCCACCGCAGGTACGGAAGCCCCGGCAACGTCAGCAAGGAGTACCAGGAGTTTGCCGACTTCTTCCTGAAGACGTACGCAGTGGGCATACAGCAGGTCAGCGTGCGTCCTGGGGGGTGGGGTTTTTTTCGGGCTGGGAAGGCCCCTGGTTCAGACGGAGCAGAACCCTCGTCCAAGGCGCCGCCCAGCGGAAAGGAAGGGCTGCAAGTGGCCGATTCCTTCCCATCACCGCCGCTCTGACATCACACTCTCCGCAGGATGGAGGTGACGGATGCTTCTGGCCTTTGTGTCGCAGGTCCTGCTGAAGGTGGTGGACCAGCACCGGCGGGGCCTCTACGTCACGCCGCGGGTTCTGCAGCAGTGCCTGACCTACCTGAACCAGGGCCTGTCTCACTCCCTGACCTGGAAACAGATGAAGCCTCACATGAAGGTAGGAGCTGATTGGACGAGGCCGCAGAGCTCCTCCTACTAACCTGCTTCTTTGCTTCCATGTTTGCTGAACTTTGACCTTTCCAACCTGCTGCAGCCTTCCACTCTTTGGTGTTTTTCAGACCATCAGCCAGGAGGTCATCTTCCCTCTGATGTGCTACAGAGAGGAGGACGAGCGCCTGTGGCAGGAAGACCCGTACGAGTACATCCGGATGAAGTTCAGTGAGTGGACGCCGCGCACGCTTTCCCCTTCCTGTCTGTAGATGTTCTGGTTGACCCTCTGCTGTGCTCCTCTGCCTCAGACCTCTATGACGACCATTCCCTCCCAGCAGCCGCCGCTCAAAGCCTCCTCTGTAAAGCCGCCCGCAAGAGGAAAGAGGTGAGGAACAATTAGCTGGTCGTGATGGCGGCCGGTTCCAGAACCAGCTACAGCATCCATGTGTCTGTGTTCTGGATGAAATGAGGAGAACTCTGATTGGTTCTGGTCAGCGCCGCTGCCATCGTAGTCAGCCCTGATGGATTCCTGATTATTCACAGCGTGAAACTGAGTAGACTGAGGTTCTCAGGGAGGTGGTAACGTCCGGTTCTAATGAGGGCCGAGTGGTTGTCTGAAGGTGTCTGTAACCGGCGGTAACCTGCGTGATGCTCTCTGCTGCTCAGATCCTCCCTCAGATGATGGACTTCTGCCACAACATCCTGGTGGAGCCCTCTGCTGACCCCCGCAGTAAGGACGGGGCGCTGCACTGCATCGGGGCGCTGGCCGAGCTCCTCCTTAAGGTACATGGGACGCGCCTGTGTGGCTGAGCTCTGGTTCTGATTGGTTCTGATGTTTGCGTCGCTGCGTCTCGCCTCACAGAAGAGGATCTACAGGGAGCAGATGGAGCTGATGCTGCAGAACTACGTGTTCCCTCTCCTCAACGCCCCCATGGGTTACCTCAGAGCCAGGGTGAGTAGCCGTCCTGCCGGCCTGTCACGCTCCTGTGGGCGGGGCTAAACCTGCTGCCGTGTCCCCCAGTCCTGCTGGGTGCTGCACTGCTTCAGCCCGCTGCGTTTCCATGACGAGCTGGTGCTGAGGAACGCCGTGGAGCTGGTCAGACAGGACCTGGTAGACGACCAGGAGATGCCCGTGAAGGTGGAGGCCGCCATCGCTCTGCAGGCGCTGGTCAGCAACCAGGAACAAGGTGCGCCGAGCGTCGGTCTGCTGCACCGTAGGCGCCGTGCGCTCGTCTCACTGCTCCTCTGCTCTGTGCGCAGCCAAGCTGTACATCAGGCCCCACATCCGGCAGGTGATGCAGCAGCTGCTCCACGTGGTCAGAGAGACGGAGAACGACGACCTGACCAACGTCATTCAGAAGATGATCTGTGAATACAACCAGGAGATGGCGACCATAGCCGTGGACATGACCCAGAACCTGGTAGGAAGATGCTCAGGTTCTACATTCTAGATCTAATTTCTAACGGCGTGAAGGAGGCGGTAGATAAACTCTGAGGCAGTGGGGAGAGGCGTGACTGTGTTTGCTGCCCCCAGGCGGAGATCTTCACCAGAGTGCTGCAGAGCGAGGAGTATGAGGAGAACGAGGACAAGACGGTGATGGCTCTGGGCATCCTCAGCACCATAGACACCATCCTCACCGTCATGGAGGACCACAGGGAGGTCTGTCAGTCTGTCATTGGCCCAGCAGCCCTCTGAGCTCCACATGTGGAAACCTTTGCTGGTTTTCTGCTCCTCCTCAGATCACGCAGCAGCTGGAGGGGATCTGCCTGCAGGTGATCGGCCTGGTGCTGCAGAAGCCCATCATAGGTATGGCAGGTGTGTGTTGGTGGGGGTGGTGGCCTCTGAAGGCTTCCTGCAGACATGCACTCTGTGATGGAGGCCACCTCTCCCTCTGCCCAGCCCTGATGTTGGTCTCCTGCCTTCTGCAGAGTTCTACGAGGAGATCCTGTCCCTGGCCTTTGGCCTCACCTGCCAGACCATCTCCCCTCAGATGTGGCAGTTACTGGGGGTGCTGTACGACGTCTTCCAGCACGACTGCTTCGACTACTTCACAGGTAGAGAACCCCGCAGCGTCGGTGGCTTCAGGCCTGCGGGGGACGTGAAATGGAGCATGGGAGGAGGGACGGTTGGAGCTCCAGCAAAAGCCTGGACCTGATTGTTCTACTTTCCCTCAGAGTCTCTGCAGCCTAAAGCCCAGAACACCCCGACCTGATCCAACTCAGATCCTGCCTCAGAGGTGCTGGCTTTTAGCGCTGATTGAGAGTCCGAGGAGATGAAAGCAGCTGATATGATGTCCTGCAGGATGCAGCATATCCTGCAACGTAGCCTGCAGGGGGCAGCATAACCTGCAGGGGGCAGCATAGCCTGCAGGGAGCGGCGTAGCCCTTTCCTCAAAGCCAGTAGATACTGATCAACTTCTTAGCTGCAGTTATCTTCATTATAAATAACTTTATTTGACCATTTCCTG